TTATGTTGGCCAAAAATTGCGGAGGTATGAATTTTCTGGAAGTTTACACATGGAACAATGTTGCAATTGGGGAACTATTGTGGAATCTCTGCAAAAAGAAGGAGAAGTTGTGGGTGAAATGGATACATAGTTATTATGGGCAAAAAGGAGTATATATATATATATATATAGTATTGCATTAAACAAATATCCATTATATATTGCATTAAACAAATATCCATCACCTAATCTTTGATTGTTCATTCAATGCAAGAGTATGGACCAAGTTGTTAGCATACAAAGGAATACATAAAATGGCATGAAGAAGTTCAATGGGCACTCACATACTTGAAGGGTCGAAATAGTGTAGCACAAGTGTATAAGATGACTTTGTCTAGAACCATTTACTGCTTGTAGATGGAACGCAACTGCAGAATTTTTAAAAATAAAAAGAGGCTCTCAACATGCTAGATTAGGAAGTAGACTACAACAACTCAATGCATATCCCTAAATGCATAGGGATAGTTATTAAAATGTGATGCTTGGTAGAGCTTGGGGTTTCGTGTCCAAGCCTGCTGGTTGTTTATTCTGAATTGCTCACTTTGGTAAATAAAATATTTACTTACTAAAAAAACCGTTGATGATCTTATATTTACTGGGAATGATAGTGCCATGTTTTTGATTTTAAGAGATCTATGATGGCTGAATTTGAGATGTCGGATCTTGATAAGATGCATTATTTTCTTGGTTTAGAAGTAGTGTAATCTGATGACGGGATATTTATTTCCCAAAAGAAATATGTGCGAGAAATTTTAGACCGATTCAAGATGAAGAATTGCATTAATCCCGCCGATACTCCAGTTGAGTTTGGCCTGAAGCTAAACAAAGCTGGAAGAGGAGATAAGGTAGACAACACACTCTACAGGCAGATTGTAGGTAGTTTGATGTATCTTACTGCCACAAGTCCCGGCATCATGTATGATGTAAGTCTTATAAGCAGGTATATGGAGAGCCCGACAAAATTGCACCTGCTAGCTGCCAAAAGAACCCTTCGCTACTTACAAGGAACTAAAGATTTTGGTTTATTTTACAAGAAGGGTGAAAAATCTGATTTGATTGGTTTTGCTGACAGAGACTACGCAGGAGATCAAGATGACAGAAAGAGTACTTTAGGCTATGTTTATTTACTAGGAACAACAGTTGTTTCACTGCTTTCCAGGAAGCAAAATATTGTCACTATATCTAGTACTAAAGCGGAATTTGTTGTTGCTACAACTTGTGCTTGCCAAGCTATTTGGTTGAGGAGGATTCTTGACGAACTACAATTCAAACAAGAAAAAGTAACTACAATTTTCTGTGACAACAAATCTGCCATCAAGCTATCGAAATATCATGTCTTGCATGGAAGCACATTGATGTGACATATTATTTCTTGCGAGATCTCAATAATGAAGGAACAATAGAGCTAGAGTAATGCCGAAGTCAAGATCAGTTGGCGGACATTTTTACTAAACCTCTGAAGTTTCTCACTTTCCAAAACTGAGAAGGCTGATGGGTATCGGCACTATGAAAGAGTTCAAGATCATGAAGTTAAATTGAAGCTTGAAAGCTTTCAGTTTAAGGGAGCGTGTTAGTTTTAATAAGTCACGTTAGGAATAGTATGTCAATTGTTATGTTTTTCCTAGTCTTTAGGAAGTAGTTTAAAATGTGGGTTGTTATCAAGTATTTAGGAGAAAATCTTGGTGTAGTAGTTCCTATATTTAAGCTTCAGTTTTTCCTATGTATTTGTTTTATAAAAGGACTGCCGCAACAGTGAAAAAAACAACGCCAAGAAATTTCTTTTTCACATACTGCCTTTACTCTACTCTATCTACATTATTGTACTTTTCTATCACTTTGCAGATGGTCTTATTCCACTCCATGCCTTAATAGGAGTTTTTCCATCCATAGATTTAGTATAAACAACTTCTTCCCAAAAGCTTTGTGGTAGTTTCATTTCAAGCAACCAACATCTAGTGATTTCAACAACAATCTTGTTCTTCCTCTCTAAGACTCCATTTTATTCAGGTGAATAGATTATGGTCAACTTGTGATCAATCCCCATATCTTCACATTACTTATTGAACTCATTTTAAGTTTATTCACCACCATTGTCCGACCTCAAAGACTTCAGCTTACAACCACTTTGTCTTTCAACAAAAGCTTTAAATTTCTCAAAAACTGAAAATACTTGAGACTTGTTAAAATACACCCAAGTCATCCTTTTTAAGTCATCAATAAAGAGCATAAAATATTTATTTTGTCCCAAAGATGATGTCTGCATATGTCCACACACATCAGTGTAAACTAATTCAAGTTTTTCAGTTGCCCTCCAGGTAGCACTCTTAGGAAATACTTTACTGTGTACCTTACCCATCTGACATGACTCACAAATTTTACAGTGAGATCTCAAGTAAATCCTTAGTCAACCATTTTTCATACATAGACTTTAAAGTAGCATAGTTAAAAATGCCCATATCTTTTGTGCCACAATCATGACTCATCCATACTTGAAAAATTTGCAGTATCAAACTTCTCGCCCTAAAGGAAAAGTTTTATCCACCATTTCTACTTTAACAATCAAAGTATCTTCAGAGTCAAAAACCAATGTTTGCCCTTAAAAAGAAAAGAAATAGCCTTTAGACATCATTTGACTAACACATAAAAGGTTACTTGCTAAAGGGAAACCTACTTATCCAGATGCAATTAACCCTTACTTACAAGACACACAAGTTTTTCATGCATATGTTTTAACAATAGTCATTCCCCATTCAAGTGGGGGATTTTTGGGTTTTATCAAGGTGTGAATGGGAAATAAGAAGAGAAAATGGAAAATGTGGGGGAACCAATTTGGAGGGAAAATGAAAAGTCATTCTTTGAAGATTAAAAGTCATTTCTCCAATATTGGTAGAAGAAATGAAAATTGTTGTCCTTATATTAGGAAACACTTCCTTTAGTTTTTAAAGGGTTAAGAAGAAGGTGCCCCCTCGCGCCGTCGTCGTCGCTCACTCGGCCTCTGCTTCGGCTTCAGATTTGGATTGGATTTGGATTTGGCAAATGATGTGATTGATATATTTTTGGACAAAATTTATTTAATCAATCTCATTAATTGATTTCCTTTCTCTCATAAATTAATTCAAAATGTTAGTTAATTAACAAAATTAATTTCGAGTAACGAAATTATTTGAAATTCGTGCGTAATGGTAAATTCGTTTGAAGGGATCTGTTCCTTCCAAAAAGATGTTATTTTTCCCAAAAAGACACAACGTTCTGGAAAGACATGCCTGAATAGATTTGTCTGAATAGCCGCGTTCCCTGCTGCAAATGGTTATAAATAGAGAGTCTCTTTCCGTTTTTAAACACTGAAATTTTTCCTCTTTGCATACATTTTCTTACAAAAACAAAATTGTCGATCGACTAAGTCTGTGTGTGCTCTCGTTGTTGTTCTTGCGTTGGCTGAAATTAGTGAAGTTTGATGTACCGCTACTTCTCTAATAGTTAGTCCATTTTATCTTGGAGGAATTAATTTGTAACCTCGGGTACTTGAGGGGATTAAATTTCTTAAGGAAACATAGTGGGTTTTGTGGACTCGGATTTTATTTTTCTGTCTGTCTGTTTCATCTTTTTTCTGTTTCTGTTTTTTGACTAACTTGAATACATGAGATAAAAATCTTAAGAAGTTTAATAGTTTCTGTATTTGAGGTTTCTGGAGATTAAAACCTTTATGGTTTTCTACTCTGTTTGAATTTTTAAAATTCATTCGATTAACGATTAAAAGAACATAAAAACTTTATCGTTAAATTTGAAACAGGTTGTGTAAGGATTTATTCTTTACTGTTAGTATTTCACATACTAAAATTGATTGCCATTTGTGATAGAAAAATGACAAATTCAAGTTAAGTAAATATTGGAACAGTGAGTGCTGCAACAAGATCGGTTGCACACAACGGTTCAACTGCTGCCCTTGCACCGGCTGAGAAACCTGCAAAGTTTTCTGGAGTCGACTTCAAATGATGGCAGCAGAAAATGTTCTTCTATTTGACTACGTTGAGTCTGCAAAGGTTCATTAATGAGAACGTTCATGTTATGTCGGATGGAAACACCGGCCGAAGAACAATTCTTGGTGATAGAAGCATGGACACATTCAGATTTTTTGTGTAAAAACTATATTCTAAGTGGCCTGCAAGATGATCTGTACAATGTGTATAGTAGTGTCAAGACCTCAAAAGAACTCTGGGATGCTTTTGACAAGAAGTACAAAACAGAGGATGCCGGAATGAAGAAGTTCATTGTGGCAAAGTTTTTGGACTATAAGATGATAGACAATAAAACCGTTTAAGTTGTTGAGTTGCTCACTATGGTACGTGAGAAGTTTCTATTATATTGTTGTTGAGTTGCTCACTATGGTCATGATCAAGCTGACAACAAACACACAACTAAATAAAATAAATCACAACTTATGAAAATACCTCAAGTTTTATTTCACGAGTTTTGTTATTATGTCGACAACATCAGCTGTGCCTCTATATGGATGTGTTCTCTTCTATTATCATTTCTTTTCCCTTTCTGCTAGGTGTGTGGTTGTATAATCATTCTACGCTTATTTGCTTAATTCACCGACGTTTCAAGCTTTGGTTTGCCCAGGTAAGATGTCATATTATTTCTGAGAAACTCAAATGTTTTCTGGTTATTTGCTAATGTAAGGAATTGTCAACTGCAATTGTCATTTTTGAGTAAATATCGAATGCACAAACATAATACATATAACTTAACGAATTGTTCGCTTTCTTCTTTCGATAATTAAAGAAGACGACCAACATGCTTCTGCTACATGAACACTAGCTCCATCTTCAGGGGCATTCACTAGATGAGCATATCATTTAAATGGAAGCATGCAAGAATAGGTGACATATTTGACACTATCAATAAGCACAACAACGAATATCCGAGAGGTGGACTTTGGACCTATGATTCCATTACCATCAACCAGAACATATACTACCATGGAAGAAAGTGACTTGTTCTTGCTGAAGTTCTCTTGCTTTCCATTTGTTCCTGTGAGAGGGTCTAGAAAGGGAAACTTGAGGGCCATTGAGGATCCTTATATTTCTGTGGAGGCGTGTGCCATTCTGCCTTTCTTCCATAGATATATCTCTAGCAGAAGATGACTCATCAAACTGGAACACTTCTGTACACATGCCTGAACTCAACAAATTAAAGGTCTTGTCCAAATGAACACAAAAATGAATTAAAATACTGGAAAGCAGAAAGCTATGACTCAAAGCAATTAAAAGTGCCTCAATTCTCAAAGCAAACACTAGAGCAGTCATATCACAAAGATAAGAATTAATAGTTAGTCTAGATTGAACAACACTTACCGGCAAGACCTTCAAGGTACCACTCCTGCATAGTTGACTTTGCATTCCCTTTCTCATCTGATCCAAGAATGCTTTGTCCCATTGCAGGACTTCGATAAAGGTGAGGATGGATTCCTGGGATAGCAGGGGCTAAATCACCGGGAACTGCGAGGCCTGCCTCCCTATTTTTCTTATCAGCACTTCTATGAAATGCCATGGCTTTCTCACTTGCCAATACAGATTGAATTATTAAGTTCCTTGGGACATACAGAGAGACGACCAGAGGATCACAGGCCCATCAATAGTCAAAACTCTTCCATGATTTTTTACATAAAATCCACTCACAAAAGACTCTCCACTCATAGATGGTTCCCTAATACCTCCATATCTCAGTTTCAATAAAAAAACCAACCCACCAAAGAGCATCATGAAGAACAAAACACCAAGGAAGCTAACACTAGCAACCTTCTTTGTTTTCACCTCACTCTTCTTTTTCTCCACTTTCTGTCTACTTTTTGGCGCGGGTGCTAGTGCCTGTGATTTCAACTTTGGAATGGGAACCAATGGCACTTGATATCGTTGTCGGTTCATCATATAAGATGGTGTATATGACATCCATGGAGGAGGATAGGGATAAATCCCGGGGGGTGGCGGCACTTGAGCAGGTACACTTGTACCTCTAAGTTGTGCCTTTAGAGTTACATTTTCCGCCATTGCATTAAATTTTCATTCAAATGTTGAATTGTTGAATGACATTTTCTAAATTTATTCTCTAATTCATTAGCATAATGCTTTTTTCTTTGCCTTGATAAGTGAGCACTTTCCCTATTCCTAATTTTCTAGACATCACCTTTTCGTCCTCATCATTGTTAACATTGTCACTCAAGGAAAATATAGTGGATTTTTGGTGTTTGCTTACATCATTCGAGTCTTCACTACTCTTTTTCCTTTTCAACAAAAAACTACATTTACTTATATTTACATTGACACCCTCTAATTTGAGTTTATGTTCTACAACTCCACCTTTTACTGAATTATTTCCTAAATTTAGGGAAAAATGTACCGATTTGTTCAAAACTGGAGCTTCCCCGAGACAATATCCTGAGGTCGAATTGAATATTCTAGAATCATCATCAGAACTCCCCAGCAGTTGACTCTCAGGTTGACCAAAGCTATGAGGGTTCATCTGACTCGAGTTCAAACCTGACTCCGACCCGAGATAGTCTGGCATACAACTAGGGTTTTGAAATGCATCATCATTGGTAGGGTTTGGAAAAATATCATTGAATAATTCATCAAGAATGATGTCATCGGTCTTGAAATTGACATTCTGAAATTCCACAGGAAAATCTTCGACATTATCTTGGTATGTTGCGGTCATGTGTAGGACGTAAAAAGTACGATCAAGAGGTTTAACTGAAAGACAGTCAAACACCCCAATGAAGTTCGCTTCTTCCGACGGTGGTGGATCGGCTATATCTAGAGTTTTTCAGCAATTGATAAGAGATTTAGGGAGAGACAGGGTACGAAAAGAGAGGAAACTTAGAGTTACTTTTCTTTTATAGTTTTATTTTTCGCCTGTGTTAAGATTGATCCATTAGGTTTTGTTGATATCATATCTATGAAATAAAAATTTAAATTCTTGAAGTATCAAAAATAATTTTGTAAGATTGTTTTAGTTGGTAATGTTTATCAATCATCATATCTAATAATAATAATAATAATAATAATAATAATAATAATAATAATAATAATAATAATAATAATAATAATAATAATAATAATAATAATATATAATTAAAAGTGGAAAGCTTCAAAATGTAAAGTTTGGTTACCATTTTACCCTTTCACTAAATCGAATTTACCTTTCAATTAATAATAATATATCATATTCCATTAATTTGAAACATAAGGCATGAATCAATACTTGACCATATACATTCTCACTTACTACAAGTATTCAACCATTCAATAATGAGTTGAAATTGCTTTTAAAATCAAGTACATTAAATAGTACTAATTTATTTCAGCAAATCTCTTCACTTTTCTACAAAGAATTTGTAGAATTTGAAGGTTACGTTAGCATTGAATAATTCAATGTTGACTAATTGTGTTAGTATTAGAAACTGGAAAGAAGAAAGGACTTAGTTCAATAGCAGTTCTTTTCATTCATTATACAGATTTCAAAAAGCGCACACACACATATCTACATAAGATTTTCCAAAGTAAGTAGAGGACCATACATATCCAACCACTATTGACTTTATTACAAAACATATTCCATAAAACAAGGACTACCTTTCTTTTACATACTAAACATAATATTTAAAAAGAACCATTAAAAAAAAACCATCTAGAAATATCTCATTTTCTAACACTCCTCCTTGAGATTTTTCTTGGACACTCCCAACTTAGCCCTTAGAACTTCAAATTTCCCCTTAGGAAGAGCCTTGGTCATGATGTCAGCAATCTGCTGATCTAAGCTGCAATGAACAAGTTGAACTTCGCCATCCTTCTCTGCTTGCCTGATAGCGTGAAACTTCACATTTATATGCTTGCTACTACCATGTTGGCCATAGATACTGTTGACTTGTTTCCAACCTTAATGGCAGTAGGTTCAATGTCATTTTGCTCCCAATCACATAAAATCTTTCTTAACCATAGAGCCTGATTAGTTGCACCAGCAGCGGCGATTTATTCTGCTTTTGCAGAAGATTGAGCTACCACCTCTTGCTTCTTTGAATTCCATGAGAACATGCCTGAATCATATCATCAACACTTCCTACCCTATCACTATCTGAATAACCCATCAGTTGCCCTTGCTCTTTCCTTTTAAACCAAATACCATAATCAACAGTTCCTTTGATATATCTCAACGTTCGGTTAGCAACACCAAGATGAACTTGATTTGGAGCTTGCATAAACCTCGACAGTAGACTTGTCGCGAACATGAGATTGGGTCTTGCTGCTGTCAAATAATGCAAACTACCAATCAGACTTCTATAAACTGTTGGATCAGCCCTGTCACCTCATTCAAACTTCAAAATCTTTTCATCATGAACCAGTAGGGTCGGTACAGGCTTGCACCTCTCCATCTTGAACATTTTAAGTATATCCCATGCATATTTTCTCTTAGAGATGATGATTCCATCAGTAGCTTGATGAATCTCCATTCCCAAAAAGTAACTTATTTCACCCAAATCTGACATTTCAAACTTGGTCTCCATTTCTTGCATGAACTGATTCACCATAGCTTCATTGCTTCCTGTTACCAGAAGATTTTCAACATAAAGTGATGCCACAAACACATCCAAATGATACAGCTTATTGTACCATATAATGTGGTTTCATTTTCACATATAAAGTGGCTTCATTTTCACTTCTCTTGAAGCCACAATGAATGAGAAGATCATCAATCTTACTGTACCATGCTCGAGGAGCCTGCTTTAATCCATACAATGCCTTATGAAGTCAGTAGACTTTATCCCACAATAGTCCATTTAAGAATACCGATTTCACATCCAAATGATACAGCTTCCAATTTGACTGAGTTGCCAAAGCAAATAGCAGCCTTATTGTATAATGTCGTGCAACACGTGCAAACGTGTCTCCATAATCCAGACCTGCAGCTTGTGCGTAACCTTTCACAACAAGCCTTGCTTTGTATTTATAAACTGAGCTATCTGGATTAAGTTTGGTTCTATAAACCCACCTCACCCCGATCACATTTCTGTTTTTGGGTTTATCAACCAACTTCCAAGTATCATTCTGTTCTATCATACCAATCTCCTCCTTCATAGCTTCAATCCAAACTTCATGTCTTGATGCTTCTTGATAACTATTTGGTTCCGAGATTGCAACATTGCATCTTTCATATATCTCGGAAAGGGACCTCGTCTTCAAAATTGGCGAATCAAGTGAGGATTCCCCGTCTGATTCTTCATCTTCTTCCAGAGTTTCAGACCCAAATGATTGGATTTCAGGCAGCGCATTTAAGTTCGGAAAAACTGCATTATCTTTCTCAATTTGCTCCTTATCCCAGTTCCAATAAGCATTCTCATCCACGACTACATCTCTTCGGATTGAAATAATTTTTATTTGCAAGTTGAAAACTCTATAACCCTTGGTTTATGATGAATAACCAATAAAGATCCCTGACTTCACGTATCAGGACACTACTTCGGTTCAAGTGCCAACGATCGTGTGTAGTGATACAACCCAACCAAGGGTTGGGATCATTCCCACAGGGAGTGGTTTCAAGATTTAATAGAAAAGTAAACTAAAGTTCTAATCAATCATAGCTGTAAATATTAACGAATAAAAACATACTAAATCTAAGGGGTGATGCAAACGTCAATTATCAATGGGGGTTTGTATTAGCTAATTAACAAAAACGACAAAAATATAAGGAAATGAGATTCTTGGGATATGATAGGAATATGGGATTAAAGACACTATCGGGTAGATGCTATTGATAGTACATCGCTGAATATTTGCAACTAGGCTAGACTTTAGTGGGGGTAAATTCTCTCTCGAGCAACTTACCCCGAATCAACTCGGTTTCTCTTGAACACCGAGTTGCCGCATTTAAGCACAACCTCCACCTTAGCCCATTCACTCTCTCAAGCTGAAAGTGTGGGAGAAGGCCTAGGATTCACTCTCTCTAGCTAAACCCACGATGACCAAATAACCACCGGCTATCAATTTAGTAGTCTTAGTTTTAAAATATCTCACTCGAGAAAGCCAAACACAGTAAGATAAAATCGTATTTGCAACTACAATCTCATTAAGTTCAAACACAACTACTAAAACAAATCACATTTAAACAGCGAATATACCAACCATAAGTAACACCCAATAGTAAATTTAACCCATATTCTCAAAATCACACCCCAAGAATTGGGGTTTTAGCTAATCATAGAAAAAGGGAAGAAAATGATACCAAATCGAGATGACATCAATTGGGTATGATTTGTATTTACTTTAAATGAGTCTAGGATGAAGAATTTCCAACACCCACTTCCAATTTCTAGGAATTGGAAGTCTTCAAGCCTACAAGCTCAATGTCTCCAAAAAACTCTAAGAACTAAAACTGAAAATATTCTAAGTCTCCAAAATAAAATTTCTCTCTAAAGTCTTATACTAAGCTAACAATTTAAACAAGTATTTATAGTGTTCAAAAGTTTGAAGGACCATTCGACGCATTTTGTCGGGATC